CTGGAATATGCAGTGTTAATGAAGAAGGATAAGAAAATTATAGACTGGGGCCGGGGGGGATGAAGTTAATGAGGAAAACCAACAGACAAGGAAGGAAGAGCATAAATAAAATGAGATCTTTAAATCTGCAGTGTGAATTAGAATTCACTTCAAATTCTTCAGAATTAACATGGGCAAGTTTCAGAAATAAGAGTAATATCGGAAATACTGGCAACTTTGATAGACACAGTAAGGATAAAAGTGCATGAAGAGACTGGAAAGATTGCCAAAGGTATCTTTTGAGACAAAGGAAGTCACTGTGACATCCTGAGCAATAAAAACAATGCAAAGTGATGCTACAGGAGGATCCGTCCAATAACAAATCAAAATTGATTAGATAACAAAAATTTGGTGAGGATATTGGAATAGGAATATATTTTCGCCCCGATATTTTGCCATCCAAATAGGAAGTGGATTTATAGTCCAAGAATTGGCTAATATTCAATCTGAATTTCCAAAGGCACGACATGCTGTTGTTGCCCATTTTTAAATGATCTGACTGTATCAAGTGGAGTTTGGGTCATCTTAGCTACAATCCCCAAAGCTACTCATAAGACATTACTGGCTTAAAAAGGCAGTTTTTGACAGTTTTCCTCAGAGCTTAGCTCTTAAGAGACCATTGTAGCAGTCTTTCACTGAGCCATCTGCAATGTATCAGCCTCCTTCCTGAACCAGAGGACCCAGCCCTGGACACAGAATCAGTGATGTAGTCTCAGCAGTTCCAAGCAGAGACAGAATCACACTTCCCTCACCCCACTGGCCGCTTTCCATTTGATGTAGATGAATGATGAGCTCGCCTCTCATGCAGCAGTAGTGTGCGATGAGTCATGCCCAACCTACTGCACCTCCACCCCATAACCCCCAGATGCTTTCTAGACGCTCTGCAATTTCTCAGTCTGCACCTATGCACATGATTAGACCACCTCAAATACAGATATCTGGGTTTCATCCAAGCTAATGACAAAGCTGGCAATAAGTCTGAATCTTCTGAGGGCCAGCACAGTGTTATTGCCACGCTCAGCAAGTAGCACAGCAGCCTCAGCCACAGCTGCTATTATTGGAATTCTGAAGTAATAAATGCTTCCCTTTCCACTTTCCCTGCAGCACCACTCTACTCAATTCCTAATACTTGGTGACCTTCACATGTACTTACACATTATATATTTAAACTCAGAAGATGCTTTTGACACCTCCTGGCTTTGCTGCAAACGCACTTCTACTACCATGACATTTTCTTTGTGACAGTTTTCTTTTCCTCAACATCTAACAGAACAGGGGTTCAGAAAAATGTTCCCATGATAGTTCCAATAACCAGTTATCACCCTTGGGTAATGGGTGATGTCAGCAGGATTTGTATTCATATGATGGGAGTACAATTTGTCCCCTAAAGAGTATGAAAGCTCACATTCCTCAAGTTCAGTGTTGCTGTGAATTTCAGTATCAACAGGAACTTGCACTGAGCCTCATATTCAAACTGAAGGACTGGCCAAGTGTCTTTGTGTGCTCACAGACATCCGTGTACGCAAACAAACTGCTCTGAGTCTCTTAAAATTATTACAAGGAAAAACTTCTACCTGATTAAAAAAAAAAATGTTCCAGTAGGACCAGTCACTTTCCCTTTGGAATAAAGCAGATTAGAGAAATCTGTGTGTATGTTTTCAAAGCAGTTTCCTCAATCACATATAGAATATAAATGGAGTGAAGACACCAACCATCTGGCAGATTTCCAAAGGAGCTCAGGACCAAAACATTCATGCTTATGCTGGAAACAAAGAGACTGGAAGGCTTTCCCAGTATCTGTAAAACATCAGCACCATGTTCAAGGATGAGCAGTCAGGTATCATCTGTGTTGACAAAGAGGTGGAGGACAAGAATAGGTGCCAGGGTAAGTCATGCAGTATCTGAAGCATAGGAGAGAAGGATATATTAAATCTCTGCCTGCCAACTTTGCTAGTTGCCGAGTGCTTTTGAAAATCTGATGCCTCATTTAGCTGACTAAAGAGTGATTGAGCTGTACCAGAAATACAAACCAGCTGTCAGAGAAAACTGGAAAATATGTTCTGGAGTAGTTTTTCAAAATCAAATTCTTTTCCTCTATATAGAACACTGGTTTATTTTAAAATGTTTAATTAGGCTAAGTTTAGCTGTGTGTATCACCTGAAAATAGAAAAGACACTAAAACTATGCAGGTTAGTCCAAATGTATGCTGACTAAAACTTCATGCACTCACTTAACCACCAGATACTCATGCCATAGCAGAGGAAAACATTGTGACAAAGATTGCAGACACACTAAATTTTTATCTGCAGAATATTTTTTCCCCTTACCCCTTCCCCTAGAGATTGAAGTATTTGGTGAGAAAGAAACCCATAGCCCAAGATTATGAGAGTAGCTTTGGAACACTTGGCAATGACTACAGATGTTTTCATATTTGAAGGGTTTTAAGACCTTCAAAAGCTCTATGAATGTCACAAAGAAAAGAGGAGATGAACCGCTTCCACCTCTGTCATTACTTAAGTCTCATGCCTAGAAGGTGTGAAATTAAATTCTACTATACAAACACAGGAGGTGTGGATGATTACTGAAAAAATTAGCAATGATGTAGAGCTAATGAAAGAACTTGAGCTGTCAAAATAAACGTGAGATGAAAGGAATAGGGGCAAATCAGAAGCTTTTGAAAGACTGAGTGATCAAATGGCTCTGCAAAGTGTCACAGACACTGAAACAGAGGTCCAGTTTCAGTCTGTACGGAACGTGTGTCTAAAACACATTCTCATATTCTGAAACTGCTTCATATGTACCATTGTGCCCTGCATGGCATATTCTCATTGCCACTTGACATTTCAGCATACCACACACCTTCTGCTTCCCTAGGTTTCTTACTTATTGCTGATTATTACAAATTCCTGAAATCTAATGTATACCTACCGATCTGTTCCTGAGCAAGAATTTGTGAGGGTCATTCAAGTAAGAAGGAGAAATTCGCCTCTTTAATTTTCTTGGCCCCACCTCCTCATCCCCATGGGGCAGGAGAATAATTTTGCTCTCTACTCTCTAATTCATATAGTCTATTTCCACTCCCCCACCCCCAGGAATATTTCCACCTCCTGTGTGCCCAGGGACCTCCTGGTTTTTGGCAGTACTTCATGGCGTGTCACTATTCCAGAGGTCAGCTGAGGATAAACTCTAATTGAAAGGTATTAAAATAGGCTGCAAGGGACAAAAATTCAAAAATTCAAATCTATCAAAATCTGTTACTGATGAAGAATCTGAGCTGGCTACGTCCTTAAAGTATGCATCAAAAGTAATCTTTCAAACCTCTTCTTCAGGTCTCCATTGGCACCCCCAGAGGAAATAATTTCAAACTGTTCAGAGAGCAGCAATCCTGTTCTGGTCCTTGAAATCCTTCGAGCAACACACACCCACACACCAGCATTATTTTCTCACCTCCTCCGTATAAAAACAAAACAGAAACGTGAGAACAGTGGGCTGGAGATGGAGCTGCGGAAAGTGAAGTTGGAAGGATTAATTATGTAATACGCCCCCTCTCCCGCCCTTACCCACAGCAACACGAGTGAGGTAAACCCAATCCTCCCAGCTGACAACTCAGAACTAGAAAGTGCCCGGAGGAGTGAAAGCAAAATAAACGTGTGGGGAAGGTGGCGATGCACTCCTACAGAGGAAGATGTCATTAGGAAAAGGCTAAAAACAAGTTCAAATCACCTTTAGCCTCTTCCCTTCCCTCCCCAGCGAGACCTCTCCCTCCGCCTCTTCCCCTCTCCTCCCCCCAGCTCCTCCTCCCCCCTTTTCAGCAGGAGCTGCAGCCGGATTGGGACTGTATCCCTACAGTTCACGGCTCTCTGACGGAGCGTGGATCCTCCTGAAAAACTTCAAGTAAAACAGGAGCTGGGAGAACACACACACCAGAAGATATATTAAGAAAGCAGGTTTGCTACTTAACTCGGAGGAAAGAAGCTGGAGCAGACTTCTTCGGTTGCTCTCTAAGAGCCTTGCCGAGAGTCCTTGCAAAGAAAAGTGTTGCTGATTCAAAAGAAGAGGAGGGATGGGGAAGAGAAAAAAAATTGTGCATGTCTGTGTGAGAGGGAGACAACGCGTGTGTGCGTACGTGTGAATGCGTGCTTGTGTGTGAGAGGGTGTAGGCGACTGGTGGGTGGAGCTTGAAATTTTATTTTTTTTTTTTTTCCCTACGAAAGACACGTGAATGCAATTCCCCGTGAGGGGCACCAAGCTCTGCCCAAGAGCAGAAGGGGTAGGGAGAGGGAAAGGGAGAAGAGAAGGAAGGGAAGAGGAGAGGGAAGGGAAAAGGAGAGGGAAGGAGAGAGGGGGGAGGAGGGAGGGAGAAGGAGAAGGAGGAGGAGAAGGGATTTCTATTTCAGAAGACATTCATAGAAAGAGGGTGGCAATTCTGTGACCATCTTTAAAGGAAGTGTCCTGGGACATAGAGAGAAAGAAAGAAGCCCAAAGAAGGAAAATAAAGGGCTATGATTTCCTTGTCCTGTTGCTTTGTCTCTGGCTCCCTCTGCCTCTGGAAGAGTAGCCACAGGACACAAAGATGCCCAGCTGGTCACTGCACGCCCAAGTTCAGCTTAGCTGGTGCTTCTCTCCTGTTTAGCCTGACTGCTTTCTCTGAAGGGGAGGACTCATAGCCCGACAGCCTTTTAGTTTAACCTGAAGAGTGTGTGCCGCCTCTCTCTGCCCACCCCAAGAACTCGCTGGAGGTGGAGGAGAGGGGAGAAAGAGGAGGACTTGAAAGTGCCTGAGGAGCTCCCGATGCTAAGAGGAGACAAACATTCCTGTGGACGACGCAGAAAAGACAAAGCTGACTGATTTATTGCTGTTTTCCATATTTTTTTTTTTTTATCTCCCTGTCCTTTGGCGCACACCAGTGTTTGGAGATCTTTGAAAACACAAACCAAAACACCAGCCCCGAAGCCCCAACCCCTTGGCTAGCTCTTATGGGAATGAAACACTCCTCCCGCTGCCTGCTCCTAAGGAGGAAAATGGCGGAGAACGCTGCCGACAGCACCGAGGTGAGTACGGATGCGAGCCGGAGCCGGCGCCGCGCTCCCCCAGAGCCGAGCACTGATCCCTGGGCACAAGCAGCAGGAAGTGCAGAACAACTTTCCCGGCCGCTCCGGCCAGCTCCTGCCTGCCGTGCTGCTGTGGTTTCCTGCATTCGCCCCCGCTCTCCCCCCCACTTCCCTCTCCTCCCCACTTCCCTCTCCTCCGGATCCCTCCGTTCCCCGTAGGCACAGAAGTTTGCCCGGGCCGAGCCCTCCAGGCGCTGGGGGCTGCCCGGGGCCGGCGCTCCGCGGCCGCTTCCCGGGAAGTTGGGTGTCCGTGCGGAGCGGAGGCTCCGCGGGGTGTCGGCTCGGGGGGCAGCGGGGGGCGGACGCCGGGAATTCGGGTGTTGGACGCGCCGAAAAGGGACGGACCGTCTCTTGCGGCAGCACCTTGGCCAGCTCCCCGTGCTTTCCGCCGGCAGCCTTGGCTGGGATCGTTTCGAGCCACTTTAGGGGCATCCGTGTCTCTGCAGCATCCTGGATATTAGCAGAGCGGAGCTGCCCGAGGTGGGGGCTGTCCGGCTGGCCTGGGCAGTGCCGAAAATAGCTTTGCACTGCCTTCGGGCCGGGAGGGTACCCTGCGAGGGCTCAGGTTTTCTGCAAGAAATCCACCCCCTCCCGCCGCTCCCCCACCCGTTACCTTCTGCTTCCTCAACATTGGGGTTGAGCAGCCCCTGTTTACTTGTCTGGGGCTGTCTTGACCTCACTGAGACTTCTCAGGGGATACAGCAGTGTGCGAAGTCTCAGGTCTGGAAAAGCAGAAGGATGCAGGATGCAGTCCCAGCATCTCTGCGAGCATGTGAGAAGGAGACAGGCGAAAGTGTGAGCGTGTGCCAAACTCGCTGTTTCTATTAATAGACTGTGCCTAGCACTCTGACTGAACACTTAACACATGCTTTAGCAAGATGCAGCACAGTCATGTACAGACCCCATGGACACTGCACCCCAAACAACTTCACAGCTTTGCCCTTGCAGGGGCAGCACTGAACCTTCTCCCCAGTTACCCCGCAGAGGGAATAAAGAGCAAAACCTACTGTGAACACATGACCATTCCATTCTTTATTATTTCCACATCTCAGCCTAATGTCTCCTTCTTTCAGTTAGTCCTCCCAGTAGGTGTCCTGCTCGCTCATGAATTCCATCCACATTTCTCTTCACAATAGTGTTCCCTCTGCTTGACCTTCATATATCTGCCTCCTTTGCCATGCCAGGTGAAGAGCCAAATTTTCTTAAATGAATGTGATGTAAGCACTAAATCAAAGAACATGCCTGCTACTGCGCTACAACCCCATAGAGTACTGCTTGCAGAAGAGGCATCTATAAATAGCAAGAAGTCTGGCTGCACATCTGTAAACTGTCGTAGTCCTGACAGCACATATTGCATTATAGGTCCCAGGATCCCAGGACAGGATTGCAACAAGAAATGTACAAGCACAGACAGTTCCTTTCAAAGCCATTTTTGTCAATGGAAATTGCTTTTAGACAGGGAAAATAGGTGAAAAGAGCTCTTTACAGATTCCTCTTCTATTTCATTCACACTTAGCACATTTTTATTGTTTAATCATGTTTTCCTGCTTGTGCAATACTGCACACACTGCAATGTCATTTTATGGAGAAGGATTTTTTTAACAAAAACAGATTCTTTCCAGTGCTGCATACAGGTTAGGAGAATATTAGAATGCTGTGCTTCGTCTCCTCAGAGTATCCATCAGTGACAGACTTGTGAAATGAGAGTGAAAATATTGCAGATTAGGCATATCCTGCTCCACTTCTGCCTTCAGAAAATCAGAAGGGATACATTTGTAACTCCTGCCTAGATATTTTTTATTTTATTAATGTTCATCTTTCTGATATGGTCTGAGAGAAGTTGTCTGCCTGCATATGTGCAGAGGTAGAAGTGCACCAAGCAAAATATGCCAAGACCCGTGAAGCTCTTTTACTCGTCAAACATCTATATTTAGCAAAGCCATATGATACCAGTTTGACCTTCAAACCTTATTTCTCTAACTTTCTCCTGAAGTTAACAAGTATGTTTGACAGAAGGAACACAGGACAAAATATCTCACTTTTGGACTTAGCACAGTGTCAGAGAAAGTCAGGAATTGGTATAAATTTGCTTCATTTGAAACAAACGGGGTACCAGTAATACTAATTATTTGATATTAAATTTCTGAAGAATTTTGACGTCACAGTCATATAGGCATGATATAAACAAAATCAGCAGTAATGAGAAATGAAGAATTAAAACATTTAACAACTTGTCAGAATGCCCTACTACCAAATTATTCCAAAGACCTTCTGGTTCTTGCTTAGATTGATTTGACCCAATTTACTTGTGTTACGGCTTCATAGTTTATTTTTCATGTTGCAGGGTTGGTTTGTTTGTTTGTTTTAAATCTACCACAACTAAGAACATTTATCAAACTTTTGGTCAAATATGGCAAGTATACTCTTTCAGTTGTAGGGCAGTTTACAACAATACATTAAGTCAAGGAACATGGACACTGCATGAAAAACTTTTTATTCCCTTGACTACACTCTGTTGCCCATGCTACCTCTTCAGCTTAAAGAGCTTAAAGAAATGATGAGAACAGGCACAGACAAGGAAAAAACAAAGATACAGTAAGACAGCACTCACTGTTTCCTCAAGCAAAAATACAGAGTAGAAAAGCAATTGCTCACTAGAATTACTTTCCATTCAAGGAAGACACTTTGTGTTACCAGGAAACCTAGAGGAGTGTACTCCCATGGTTCCAGCTGTACAGACATTAACATCTCTGGTGTCCCAACAGCCTCATATTTTGATGCAGAACACGGTCAAATGAGTGCAAGTGTTGCCACAGGTGCTGTTGAGCCTTGGATCAGAATATCAGAACTATCAGAATGGTTTTGCAATTTATTTCATTGGTAACAGCCTGATATCAGTCTATTTGCCAGGGTTTATGTAGGACCAGTGGTTTGTTGTATGTGTTTGTAGTGTCCTGACAATACACCAGGTTTTGTATAAAAATAAAAGTCAAGGGGGAGAAAAACCCTAAGATTTTTCTATGTAGACCCTCAGTAAATGTCATGGGGTCCCACTAATAGGAAACTTGCCAGAATGGTTTCAGATCTGTGTCTGCAGCACACAAGGAAAAAAGATGCAGAAAATCTTTATTGCTCATGGCCATCACATGAATATTAAGAGATGTTCCACTGGAACAAAAGCTTGAGAATGTTTCCTCAAGATGCAAGAATGAACCTCTGTGTCTTTAGTCACGAAAGGAGGCTTGTCTAAATAAAACAGGACTGTTTGCATAAATAACAGATGTAGAATTGCATTCTCTGCAAATAATTAAAGACACTCTGACAGAAAACAAAGTAAAAGAGAAATTGTTCTTTGTAGAACATACACACAAAGGTTCTGCAAAAGTCATGGTGCTGACCTGCTGCAGATTTTGGGTTCTGGGTTTTTTAAATTTTGAATGCATTATTTGGAATCCTAATCAATAGTAGGCCTGATATCAGTGATGGAGAAAAAATCTGAAAGTGTGATTTCACAAGAAGTGTCCCTGACCATAACTTGTGAACCTGTGCCAGGTGAAGGGAACACAACCATAAAATCATAGAATAATTTGAGTTGGAAGGAAAATTTAAGGTCATCTAGTCCCCCCACTTGGCATGGGCAGGACGTCTTCAACTTGACCAGGTTGCTCAGAGCCCCATCCAAACTGGCACTGAATGTTTTCATGGATGGGGTGTTAATCACCTCTCTGGGCACCCTGTGCCAGTGCTTCACCATCCTCGTTGTAGAAATATTCTTCCTTATGTCTTGTCTATATATAAGTCTAGTCTAAATCGACCCTCTTTTAGTTTAAAACCATTATGCCTTGTCCTGTCACTACAGGTCCTGCTACAGAGTTTGTCCCCATCTTTCTTGTAGGCCTCCTTTAAAAACTGAGAAGGTGCAATAACCACAAAGTGCTGCAATAGCACAAAGTGCCAGGGTTTAGGTGAACATCCAAAAGATACCTACCTGTGACTGGCTAGTGTCTGACTGAAACAACCCTAGAACTTGAAACTGATCTAGTTTTGTACAACCTAATTGCTCAGTAACTTCATAAAAAGCTATTCTTGTGCTGAAGACTTCACAGTCTATAGAGAGAAAAGATTCTTGTCTCATTGCTAAGAATAGAGAGATCCCTTAATTTATTTATGGTAGCATAATGGAGTCCTGTCAGAATGACCTATTATGCAAACCTTGGGCTTTGGTTAGATTTGGGATAACATGCCTAATAGATGTTCTTCCCTAAACAGATGAATAAAATGGATTCAGGATTATGTGATCTGGGTCAGCAAAGGTAGCTGACTGTTCTGTTGTCAGAAGTGGAGAGGTTAAAGTGTTCTATCTGCATGAAATCCAGACATACCACTGCTGAGGGGGAAAAAAAGATAGAATCTATTGAAACCATGAGATTCTACTTGTGATTTATGAGTAGGAAGAGGGATTTCTCCTTAATAAGCGACCGAGGTAGAAATTAACAGAAGCAGAACAGGAGTGTGTGTAACAGAGAAAATTGGACTGAATTTATTCAGTAAAACAAAGTTTTGCTCCTGGTTATTGTGCTGGGTGATCTTGCAGATAGAATTAATTCTCTCAAAGCTTTTCCATTTATTCTGTTGGATTCTGTGGTTCATTAGTCAGAGGTGTTGTAGAAACTTCTTATTTGGTGTTACTAAATTGCTTAGACCAGCATATATGAATGAACATTAATGAGTGGGTGATGTTTACCCAAGAGAGAAATGGCACTGCTGTATGGGGTGCATCTTGGACTAACGGAAGTCACAAGAGGTCTGGCCTGGTGTCCCAGAGCCAGCTGAAGAGGCAGTTTGTAACACAAATTTCAGCCTTAATGAGTGGCCACATGCTTGTGTCACATAACTTTGAACGGGAAAATTTGTGTGTGTGTGCAAGTGGTGTGGGTGAG